AAGGGCTGGGGGTTGTTGGAAGAGCAGTTTCATCCCAAAATTTGGTCTTCTGCAAAGATGTTACTCAATTTAGCATAACTGAGTACCTTTTGGCACACTACGCACGCAAATTTGGAGCTACAGGTTCTTTTACAATTTGCTTTGCGGAGTAGATATATTGAAGACAATGTTTACGTGCTAGAATTCTCTTTTCCCCCAAACTACACTGAAGGTGGGGATCCGAGTTTGGTTTTGTTATTGACAACAATAAAGCAGCATTGGCTCTGATACCATTTAAGGTGCTTGATACAGGGTTAGAGCTAAGTACGTCTGTCAACGCTTTACTAGGGAACAGTCCTATACGCAATCACTGCAACTACGGTCTTCTAACCTATACGTGACTTGGATGACGTCCCACTTAACCTTACTCTGTTCTAAGTACAAACCCAGGAATATTATCATTTATATAATTATTATATTGGATTTAAATTCCTACATATATGGTCTCATGGTTTTACTATTAAGGTGGAGGCCGGACGGTAGCCGCCCACAGGCAGATCTGCTCCTGGACCTGTTGTTGAATCCTGTTTATTTGCTGATTACAAAATTCTAACTGGTTAGAAAGATATGCTTGTAGATACGGGTCATTTGCTTAACGCTAGGGATGGCAATTTGAACCCGGCCCGATGGGGACCCAACCCCCCGACCCCAAATTGAGCGGGTTTTCCCCGAAAAATACCCCTGACAAGATGGGGATGGTATTCAAAAATCAATCCCTGAACAGTTTTGGGCTAGGGACAAGGATAAGTGTCCCAGCCTTGTACCCGGCCTGGCCCGGCTAGGCCCCGTCCCCGTTCCCTGGCCTGGTTTATCCCCGATGTGAAATTACTGTTTTACCCCTATATACATATATATAAACCAAACCCTGAATCTCACTTTCACTTCTCTGTCTCTCACAGCCGCGTCTCTCATCTCTCTCTACCTCACTCACTGACTTTTTTCTCTCTCTCTCAGATCCACCACCATCGCCGTCCAATTCGCACCACCAACACCACCGTATCTCTCATCTAGATCTATCATCACCTCCGTCTAGCTCGCACTGCCGCTTCACCTCCGTAGTCGGCTCTCCACCTCCATCCACCTTTTCACTCTCGTACCTCTGCTCCACTTCTGTCTACCTCGCATCGCCGCTTCACCTCCTCTGTCGTCCATCGCGCCGATCTTCTCCGTCGTTCGTCATAGTTCCATCGCCTCCGTCGTTCTCTCTCTCTCTCTGACACACTTAGATACACAGATCGGAGATATATGTTATTGTTGATGATTTTGTTGATCTCATATCTGAGATTTGTTGATGATTTTGTTGATTGTTGATGATATTGATGATGAGATCTCAATCTCAAATCTGTGTTGATGTTGCTTCTATTATTGTTGTTGTTTTTGTTTTTGTTTTTTTTTTTTTGCCGAGAAAATTTGGTGGTCGGGGAAATCCGATCCCCGTTAAGGGATGGGGACGGGAATGGTGATAGGCTCCCCATCGGGGATCGAGGCCGGGGACGGAGAAATTTTTACCATCGGGGATCGGGAACAGGGAGTGTGGTCCCCGGCCCTGCCCCGGCCCGTTGCCATTCCTACTTGAAGCTGTTGTAAATATATATTTCTACTATCAAGATAAAATTCTAAAACATTAATTAAATCAACAAGTAAATTTACAGACATATATAATAAAGAAGAAAATACTTACAACCAGAATCTTCAAAACAACATAATTCTTCAACACTTAATTTATATAGCATAAACTGAGAAATTTTACAATGAGAGAGAGAGAGAGAGCACTCTGATCTTACACTTGAAAACAAATTTCTAAAGAAAAACCAACTCTGCTTCAACAAGGGTGAGGATATCCCTTTTATAAACAAAAGAAAAGAAAAGAAATGATAAGATAAGGTGAGGACATGTGACGTGTCCTTAGTGGTTAGAGTCTATTGTCCTTATCCTCAAAGCTGAGTGGGAGTCTTCTTTTTGACTTAGCATCCTTATCTTCTTTGGACTAGTATGAGATAATTGTTGGTCTCTGTGTTGGATGGCAGATAAGAAATTTGCTTTTCTAAAAGTTGCATTATATGCAATTACTGTTGATTGTCATTTTATACCGACACATATCTGGAAAGATTATTGCTGGTGAAGGTCATTATGATTTACCTTTACATTTTTTTATCTTTTTTTTGTCAATCTTTTTGGCAATCATGCTGGTGAGTGAATCCCAAAAATCACCAAAATTGGGTTCATCATCTGCTGGATCCTGTGATTCGCCGGTTAGTACAACAAATTCATTTTCATCCTGGTCTAGATCTTCTTGGTCTTGGCTGCTGGTAACGGATTTCATGGAGGCGTCATCACTGGAAATAGTCTGGAGGAATTGTTCTTTCATGAAATCCATGCTTTTAATGACTAATTCTGTTTCAGAAAAATCCGGGTATTTTTGACGTAATTCTGTTTGAATTTGTAAAAATGGATTTTGAATGACTGGTTTACTGCGAATTGTTTTAGGAATAGCATCCTAGCCGACTTGAGTATGGACTTTAATTTTCTGGACAGTTTCTAGTAAGGTAGGATTCATACCCTTATACCACAATCTCACAAAGATAACTCTTTTGAGGTGTGGAATCTTATTCTGATAGTCACACTGGAAATCCTATTTCCATATCCATGGAATACTGAAACGGATAGTAAAATGAACCAAAGATTTGGTCATAGAAATATCCTTTTGTCCTGGTAAATGAGAATAAGCAATTTGCCATTCACTAAAGGTTTCATGGATAGATACTGGTAAAACTTCAAGTTGTAGCCCAAATTTATCCCACCAAACGAGAAACCAATTTGGTAAATCGTTTTTGAGGACGTTGGGACAAATACGGATAAACCAGGAATGGTTGTGGATAGGATTTTGATACTAAAATGCATAGGTAAATGCATCGATATAGTCCCAATAACTATATCGAGTTTCCCTGTTGCGAATGTCAAGTTAACGAGTAGTATGCAGATGAATGCCCCATGTAGTAATGGACATAATATTGCGAATGGTAGTTTTACAAAATTGGATTGGACTGATAGTCTTGGAAGGATCATACAAAGTATGCTTGATCTCCATGGTGGCAGTCTCAATGAGTATCTGCTCGTAAATATAACGGTACTAGTCATAATGTGGGGGAAATTATTGAGTCATAAGATAGCGACGTTTAATTTTCCATAGATCTGTCATCCATTTTTTATTTGTTGGTTCAATATAAATAATTGTTTCTTCAGTAATACTGTTAGGAGTATACTGTTCAGGAGTAAGGAGGACATCCTTAGTGGATTGGCCAAAGGATTTCTCTTTATTACTGTTAGAGGCTCGCAATGCTAGAAATTTTGTTAGATAGGGCTTTTGGTAAGGGTTTCATTTGCCCCGGCCCCGATGACTCGGGCTATAGCCACTTCAACTGGTCATGATCCCTGTAAATATTCACGAGTTAGAAAATCTGGTAAAGAATTCTGTTCACTTCTGATATAACCAATATCAAAGTCAAATACAGATAAAGCACTTTGCCAATTGGCAAATATTTGTTTCTGAGCAAGATTAAGAACGTCTTTTTTAAATATCTGTTTGGCTGCTGAACAATCCATACGAATTAAAAAAATTTGGTTTAGCAAATCATCTTGAAATTTTAAAACACATTTAACAATAGCTAAACACTCTTTTTTAATTGTTGGATAATTTAAAGCAGCTTTAGTCCAATTTCTTGATGTAAATCGTAATAATTATTCTTTGTGACTAGTAGGATTAACCTGTTTTAAAATACCTCCATAACCATAATTAGAGGCATCTATTTCTACAATTTTCTGCCATTCTGGATTTGGTAAAGCAAGACAAGGAAGTTGTTTTACTTTAGCCTTAATTTTTTATACAGCAATAGTATGAGCTTCTGTCCAAGGAGAAGGATTTTTCTGTAATCTAGTGTAAAGGATAGCAGCATCCTGTGATAACTGATGATAGTAATTTCTAATGTAATTGAGACTATCAAGAAACCGCTGTAATTGAGTTTTGTCTTTAATTTTATCGGGAAATTTAGAAGCAAACTCAATACTTTTGTCAATCGGTATAATAGTTCTATTATGAATATTATGACCAAGAAAGCATACTGTTATTTGAAAAAGTTTCATTTTTGGTGCAAATATCACTAAACCATTTCTGATGATAACATGCTTAAATATATTAAGATGCTTTATAGACTGATCAATAAATGATGAAAAAATAAGAACATCATCAATATAATAGATAGCAAATTCTGTATAAGGAGTAAATATATTATTCATGATATGCTGAAATTCTGATGGAATATTTCTTAAACCAAATGGTATAACATTCCATTCATAATGTCCAAAGGGTACTGTAAAAACAGTTTTGTACCGATCCTGTTCAGCTATTTGTACCTGTCAATATCCTGATTTTAAGTCAAATTTAGAGAATATGACTGCAACTTGTAATCGGTCAAGTAAATCTTTTTTATTCGGAATTGGATATCTGATCCATTTCAAAATATCATTAAGAAGTTTATAATTAATAACTAATCTTGGCACACCTCTTTCTATTTTGACATTTTTATTGACATAAAATGATGTACAACTCCATAGAGAATGACTAGTTCTGATTAACTTCTTTTGAAGAAGATTTTGAATCGTTGTTTTGCATATTTCTAAATATTCTTTTTTTATTTGACTAGGGCGAGTTCTATATTAAGCACACATATCACATCACATGGAGACTCTACTCATTGTCACAGTAGTAGAGTTATTTTTAAAACTCTAAAATTAAAATTCTTAATCTTTATTTTTTTTTAAATATGAAGGAAATATCTATATTAATTATAAATCTCGGAGGGGTGTAGGTGTAATTTATCCAAAAATATTAAATAATTTAGGACTCCACTTGCGAGTGTAGGGAGAGAATCTGCGTCGTTGATCAGAGATTCAAAAATAGGCTTGGGATTAGCTTTGCAAAGCCGTTTTTTTGACTTCCGAATCTCCCCTCTTGTTCGTTTCCCTCTCTGTTTCATTTCATTTGGCTGCAGCTACGAACACACACACACACACACACACACACACAGAGCGCACATCGGATGCGAGAGAGAGAGAGAGAGAGAGAGAACTAGATTAGTTTTCTGTGGATTCGATGTCGGCCACCACCGAAGACTTGTTCATTCTTGATTCAGACGACAGCCTCGTCGGAGGTACACTCTCTGTTCTCCTAATTCTCTCAATTTCTTGATTACTTTTTCTTTTCCATCGCGTTATTCTTCTCCAACCTATCAATTACTCTCTAAAAACAACATCATGTATACATTCACACTTACACGTATCCATAAATTTTGTTGAAAATTAATTTCCAAGTATCAGTTAGTTTTTATTTATTTATTTATTTTTAACTTGATTGTAAAATTTGATTTCTTTTTTGGGTTATCTGAGAGTTGGAAATATATCAAATTTTTAGAGGTGCGTGATGAAATCTCTGATTTGGCAAATACCTCCATTTCGCAATCAGTTTTAGAATTGCCCAATTTATGATATTTATGGCCCTGTTTGGTAGAGTAGTGAGAAAGTGATTATAACTTATAGAGACTCCATTCGGATATTTGGAAAGTGATATTTAAATCTCTAATTTTGTATAAAGACTCCATTCGGATATCTGCTAATGTTAAGTGCCCTAAAAACCCTAATGTGTTGAGTTATGTGATTAGCGGCATAATTAGTTTAATAACTCTTCATTCTTTTTGTAATTCTGATGTTTAAGTGTTGCATATGCCATTGTTTCGTAGAAACGGATAATTCAATCTCAAAATTTATGTTTTAACTTTGTATCTCAGTTATACATTATGGTGTTTAAGGTTAGTGTTTGCCTAGTAACACTGAAATTTTGTATTGGTATCAGACAATCCTGAAGTAGAGAAAAAAGCAAAGGGCTCTTTTGAAAGTGCGGCAAGGAAGAGGCTTGGTGACATAAGCAACTTACCACAGCGACCTAAACCATCTACCAAAGACGAGAAGGAACAGTTTGTTTCAAATACCACTAAAGAGTATATTGAACACCTCAAAAAGGTACAATTCTTCTAGGTTTGAAATTTTTGTTTTTCAAACTTTTGTGTTGTTCATCTTTTAACATTGGTATTATCTGAAACTTTCATTTAGAAAAATATGATGCTGATGAAGCTTTTAGCGGATAGAAAGTATCCTTTTTTTGATCAATTTGGTTAATTTTGTTGTGAGGCAGATTAATATGCTTTATCCCCAGATTGGTAGTTCCATTGGGGTCTTTCAGAATTTTATTGTTACAGGTTTCCCTTAATCTGGTTAACAGTAAAATCATTGAATTTAGTGGAATTGAGTTGCAGAAACTGAGAATCAACTTCCAGAAAATGCGGCAACAGAATTTGCAGCTTGCTCAATCAAATAGCCAGATGCTAACGGTCTGTTTTCCTCGCTCATACTTGAAAAATCAATGACCTTTTTTAAAAAAAGAAAATTGCATTTACTTTTTTTTGACAAATTTGAAATCTTGGTGACATACATTTTACTGTTCCTTTGACTTTGCAGGATCTTAACTCAGAAAAAGATAGAGTAAGTTCTTACTAGTGTTTACATGAAGTTTAACTTCTGGTTCTTGCTATGTTGTATAGCTTCTGCTAACTTGCTATAGAGTTTTAATTTGTTTCAGCTGAAAGTACTACAACATGAACTTGGATCCAAAAATGCTTTGCTCAATGCGAAAAAATTGGAATTGAAGGTCAGTCTAGCCAAGCCAGTGTTCTTTTATTGTCAGCATGGAGGCAAGTTTATAAGAGAGTCTCTATTGATGAATATCATGCTTTTGTTTCCTCAGGAGAAAGCAGAAATAACATGTCAATACACAGACAAGCAGGTATTTAAGAAAATATTTTTGGGGGTTTCGTATTTACGTTTTTTCTTGAAGGTCCTTGTTTTAGGCATTCGTGCATATTTCCATTTTTCTCTTCATTATTGTCAAGGAGGGAACTAGCAAGTCTGAGGAGGCCAGGGAGTCATTAGAAGCAGATAGAGCTGATAATGAAGACTTTAAAACAAAAAAGAGGCAGCAATCAAAGAGTGAGTAACTGCCGGAACCAAATGTTGCATCCGAGATTTATGAAACTGATTTAGTTTTGTGACCTTCTGGTTATGTGACGCATAGGTTTGGACCTTTCTACTGTTAAACAAGTTCAACTGAAGGAGAAAACTGAAAATAAAAGGTTTGTCCGTTCATGTTACATTGCATATTGCGTGTTAATATAGAACAACGGCGGAAAATTCCTTTTGCAGAAACAAATCTAGAACAACAGAGGAAAATTATGTTTGCTTCTCTTTCTTTTTCTTTTTTTTTTCCCTTCTTTTTGAGGTCTTAGCAGGGCTTCTTTGAGAAGGCAATCTGCAAGATTTAAATCTGCAGAACCAGAGCCTACTGAAGAGGTATTTGAGATAGACAATGCCAAATTTCCTGTATGTTCTCTGCTTGATGATCAAATGCGGGAAGATGGTTCAACTTCCACGTGTTCATCAGCCAAAACAGATGATAAAAGAGGTAGTAGTGGCCCAAGTGATGATGAAGCCCGGGATCGCGCTTCTACTGAACAAATTCAATTAAAGGAGAAAACTGAAAAGAAAAGGTTCGTCTGTGCATGTTACATTGCATATTGTGTGTAAATATTTTACTGGAATCTCTTTTGCACAAACAATCTACGACAGCAGAAGAAAATTATATTTGCTTTATTGTCTTGGCAGGGCTTGTTTGAGAAGGCAATCTGCCAGATCTAAACATCAAGAATCAGAGCCTACTGAAGACACATTTGAGATAGTTGATACCAAATTTCCCGTATGTTCTCTGCATGATGATCAAATGCAGGAAGATGGTTCAACTTCCATGTGTTCATTGGCCAAAGATGATAAAAGAGGCATTAGTGACCCAAGTGATGATAAAACCCAGCAACTTCAAAGGTCATCTATCGGAAGGCCCTTGCGTCTAGTGGCCAAAAAGGTTCAGTCCTACAAGGAAATCCCAGTTAATGTGAAGATGCGGAGAAAAGAGTGAGTCAAATCTTTTCTAGACCAACCTTGTGTTCTCTGGTGCTGGTAGTGTTTTGACTGTTTTCTAATCTCTTTCAAAATTGTTGTTTCTTGTACTTAATTGTTTAGATTTCTAATCTCTGTATGATTTGAAACTAGAGTATTTCTTACTTTATCATCTGCGAATGATAACTAGAAATGCTGAAGAGTGGACAGGTTTATATGATCGAGTTGTAATTTTTCAAAATACACTTTGCATGATGAATGAAATACTTCATTTACTCAAACTCAGCTAAATTTAAGCTGTCTCTTTTTTAAGTTGGCATTTAGCTACTTATTGATCAATATGTTTATACCTCTTATTTTGGTATCAACTACCTATTTACAGTATGTAGTGGAAGACATATTTGGTTGACCTTATCCATGGTTACTGAATGGTGTGAACAATATTGAGATTTTCATTATCGAATTAATGGTGTCAAATTGGGACTAAAAGAAGAAGAAGAAAAATGAAGCTATAATTCCACTATGGGAAGTATTTGGTTTAAAGTTTACTATGCTTATTTGTTGTGTTTAAAAGTCCTACTAATCACAGTCCAATGGGCGTCGATTAAAGTTCAAATAATGTCAAATAAACTTAGAACCTCCAATACACATTTCACATATTGCCATACACTTTTATACAAGGAAAACTGGAAATAGAATTGGACAACATTCTGTAGAGCTCCTTTCCTTGGTGCCCTTGGTCATTTACATTATGAAATGATTATGGTGATGGATATTAGTTTTCTTTTCAAACATTGGGGCTGGAAAATATCATGACTTTATAGTGGGGGCAAAGGAGCAATGTTTTTTAGGCTGTGTGAGGATATACCTGCCCTTTTGGTCAATGTAACAATGTCAACCCTAAGTTTTTGGAAACTTGGATAATAAAGTGAGATTTGAGCTCAACTGTGATGGTGAAAAATATAATTTACTCAATAGCAAATAATATATTTATAGAACAAATTGTCTCCAATTCAATATAAGGTGTACTGAATGGTCTAGTTGGGTTTGTTGGACCCACTACAGACTTTATTCCGATGGTCTGGTTCATTTATTTTGTAAGTTTATGATTAAAAAGAAAAAAAAAAAAGAAAAAAAAAGGGATTATTACAAAATAAACAGATAAAATCATCATAGTCAAACTCGTGATAATCACATGAGCCTAATATACAATTTAGTCCACTTTAGTCTACTATAAACAATTTCATTCCTATATTTATCTATGGCCCAATATGCTACAAGAGTATCTTCATGCTATGTGAAGAAAGAAGAGATGGCTATAAATTTTATTAGACACCAGGGGACAAAACAAAATCCTCCATATCATGAAGTCAAGTGTGTTCAAGGGACATACAGGGAAATTATTTTCACGCATAAAAAATTGTAAGTACATATCTTTTATACATGGTAGCCAGAGGTGGTGGGGTTAGGATTTGGACGCGGTGGTATGTGTGATCTATTAGGTTTGGAGTGAGAGAGGATTGACGATGTTGGGGAATGGGCGGGGGAGAGGTGGGGACGATAAGAGAGGGCAATGTGATGGTAGTTGACAGTTGTGAGCGTGGTTGGCGTGGTTGCCGATTGTTGTGATTGTTTGAGGAATAAGGTTTAAAAAGGACAAAATAAAGATATTATGATATATTTTTTAGGATATATATATATTTAACTAAATGTATAAACTAAAGAAAAAAGGTATGCAAAAATAAAAGCTCCCGCTATATAGAGAAGTCACTTATTTAAGTAACCGAAATAAGTTTTACCAAATAAAAAAAGAAACTAAAATCATGAGAAGAAGTACACTTATAAATGTGGACCTCATTGTTTTGTGCCTAAGAATGAAAAATTTATGTATAACATTATTCAACCTCCTAAACATGAATGTAAAGCAAGACAAAGTGAAATAATATTTATCACTAGATTAGATTTATCTAATCATATTATTTCATCTTTTTTTATGTATTTATATATAATATAATAAATGTCATGTATACATCAAACTTTAAAAAACAAACATATGTTTGGCAAGAGGTTTTTGGGTTAAAAAAAGTTAAAGGTTTAAAAATCCGATCCTATTACCAAAAATTTACATTATACACATCAATCAAGCTATCATTTAAAATACATTATTAAATTTTTTTTAATATACAAAAAGTTAAAAAATTACTTAAATAGTCAAGTTTCTAAACTAAAAAAATATAATTATAAGTTAAAAATTGATAACTAAAAGTAAAAGTTAAAAACACTTTTCCCTAGCTTGCAACTAATATTTTTTTTTAAATTTATTTAAATTATTTTTAATAAATTATAAACAAAATTTGTACTAAGGTCTCGTTTGGGGACTGACTATTTTAGTCAAAAAATCAAAAAATCAACTAAAACTAGTCACATCATCTCTCTACTTTTTTGCACATCTTTTTATAAAAAGTTAAAAAATTACTAAAATAACCTCTTTTTTGCACATCTTTTTATAAAAAGTTAAAAAATTACTAAAATAACCTGTTTCCAAATATTTTTACAGAGACCACTAAAGTAGAGTACTGATAATGAATGGCGGAACGCGTTTTTGAGTGGTGAGAGTTGGGTCAAAAAGGGAATCCGTTAAACATTTTATTTTACTTTATTTGTAAGGGGATTTACTTTGTCGTCGAGAAAGTGCTCTCCACCATCAGGAGCCTACCATTATTTCCCCTTGCCTTTTTTCTCTCTCTTGACTAATGGATTTCCGAAGCAAAAATGTTGCCCATTTTAAAAGTTGTATTAAAATTTTTATCAAATATTTTATATAAGTTTAAGATTTATATAAAATTTAAATGGTGTGGGTCTCATATACAGGTAAAATATTTGATAGAATTTTTAATATTTTTAACATTACTCTTTAGGAAGAGAAGAGACAACGCGATCAAAGCTATAGTATTAGTATATTGATCTTATTTATTACAGTTTAAATGAGTTAATTTTAAGTTTTTTTAAATTGAGAGTTTACTTTAGATTATTTGATGAATCTTTTGATTACAGTTTGTATAAATAGCTTAAGTAAAAGGAAACTACATGGAGGTGTGAGAAGATAAAAAAATAACTAACATAGGGGGTGCAACTGACACTTATATCTCCACAGCCTTTCATTTGCACCTCACCACAGATACACTTGCACCCCTCAAATGTTGGTGATTTTTTTTCTCTTCCTCCTAAATAAAGTGAAAAAGTTGAGTGAAAGCTGAGAAAGAGATGATTTTAATTTATTTATTTTTAATTATTAATTTTTAACTTATAAGAAGTTATATCAAACAGAGTAAATAAAAAAAAGATTACACCAAATAGGGCCAATATCAAAGTGGGATATACTACTTATAAGAAGTATAAATCAAATTTAGGTAGAATAATTTTTGAAAGTGTTTTTGAAAAGATTTGTTAAAAACAATGGTGAATTACACTAACGGTCCCTATAATTTGAGCCTTGTGTTACTTTTGTTTTTGACTTTTCAATTATGACACATTTAACAATGAATTTTGAATTTTGCTTCAAATAAGAATAGTTGAAGATACCATTACTGTATTTCAAGGGCAAACTTATCAATTTGATAAAATATAAACAAATTTGACAAAAATAAATGTCAAAAAAATATTGTTGAATTTTTAAAAATTATTTCTACCCACCAATGATAAAATTATGTAAAAATGATAAATATTTTACATATTTATTTATTTACATTTTTATCTAATTAATTTTTATTATGTGTTTGGATGATAATTATATAATGGGTGATTATTAGACTTTTAATGTGTAATCGATATATAATATTTAATATATGAAATATTTTTAGTTTTGGATTTTTTGATTTAATTGATTGGTTTAATAATGATATTAAAGTTGTCGCCATATTTGACTTTTGAAAAATAGAAACTAATTTAATCAAAATAAAAATAACCACCCATTACAAGATCATCTCCAAACACATAATAAAAATTAATTTAGTAAAAGAATTAAATAAAAGTGTAAAAAATTTATCAATTTTACATAATTTTATCTTTGATGAGTGTAAATAATTTTAAAAATTCAAATATATCTTTTTGATATTTATTTTTATCAAATTAGTTTATATTTTATCAAATTGATGACTTTGCCCTTGAAATTTGATCAATGATATCTTCAATTGTCCTTATGTGGAATAAGATTCAAAATTGAAAGTCAGATGTGTCATAATTGAAAAGTTAATAGTAATCAAAATGACACGAATCCCAAACTATAGGAATTATTAATGTAATTCGCCCTAAAAACAAACAACCCTATTTTCAGAAATACTTTTAGTCTATTTGGTAACGTTTACGTTTTCAGCTTATATTTACAAAAATTTTATAAACTGTTTTTTGTTTATTTTTAGAAAAAACATAAACTACAAACGCGTTTGGTAATTAACAAAATGTTTAAAAAAATTTAAAAATATAAAAAAGAGTGAGAAATAGAAAGTGGTGGCAAGTGGCGGCGGAAGACGGTGGTGGAAAGTGGTGGGTGGTGTCACATCATCTCTCTACTTTTTTGCACATCTTCGTTCTGCTCGTAGGGTAGCGAGATAACCCCACGCAGAAGGCCTAAATCCTGCCCCGTCCACCATGTGACCAACGGTCTCTGGAAGCTCTCCATACCACTCCCTAGCAATAATCGAGCCGTAACCTCGCGTGGAACAGGACGGTACCTACATTCAAAAAGGACAATTTGAGTACATTAGCATGTGTTTTCTTTTTGAGTTTGAGTTTTTTCTTTTACCACCAACACACTAGCCACCACCCGCCATCATTTTTACCCCGTTTCCGTCCACCACCCCCCCACCCCCCACCACCACAGCCACCACACTCACCACCACCTATCACCACCACTCAGCCACCCGCTACCATACCCACCTGGCCACCCACCAACCACCACCACCTTTCGGGCCACTCACTCTCACACCACCCCACCCCTTGCTGACACCACACCACCCACCTGCCATCCGCCCGCCTCCACCCACCACCGGCAACTACCATCCATCGCCGCCACACCACTCACCACCCAACCTGCCACCACCCAGCCACCCACCACCACCACCCCACCTTTGCCACCCACCTACCACCAGCCACCAGCACCACCACCACCCCACCCGCCACCCACCTGCCACCACCCACCGCTACCACCCACCACCCGCCACTGTTACCCACCCACCCACCCACCACCACCCGCATCCGCCCACCCACCTGCCACCACCACTCG